CATTAAATTCCAGTGAAATATATTTATGTTTGTGGTTGTAATGTGACAAAATATGGAAAAGTTCAAGGGGTATGAATACTTTTGCAAACCACTGTAGATAAGTAAAAATAGTTATCCGAGTACAGTACAACTTTATGGATGATTTTATGGATTTAATTTTACGTATACTTGAATAAATACSGTAAAAACTTTTTTTAATTGTCTATTTGATTGTATTCCTTAATAAGTGAAATATTTATTAAGCATATTCAGTCAAAAGTCAGAGAAAGTAGAATACTAAAAGGTAAATTGGGGGAAAAGGATAATTTAGGGACGTGTGCTGCTGATTTTTACCTGATCAAGTGATCACTGCGTATAAGCATCAGGTGCTGCAGGATGGAGAGGAAATAAGGCTCTGCATTGGTGTCCTTCACAATGCTCTGCACAATACTGAACACGTCCCCCGCATCGGTACAAAGAGTCAAGGACTTACAGATTAATAGAATTATTATATTTCCATTCAGAAATTCATGACAGAATAATTGGAATCTGAGTTATACATCAGAATTTTAGAATTCTGACCTTTTCCTTYAAATTCTGGCTTTATTTCCAGAATTGTGAAAAAAAGATAAAAGGTTTTGCATTGTGGCCCTAGACCTCTGCTGTATCTGTGAGCTTTTTCACCTTAGTCACACACTCTGAATGAAACATGCTGCTTGCTTTTTGCTTTTTAACATTGAAAAAGGATATTCCATCTCACTCCTGATGTCCTCCAGTCTGTGAGAGAACTCCATCATGTCCTCTTCTTTATGCTCCTCAAACACTTTCAGCTGAATGTCAAGGGCCTCATTTCTGATGGTCAATAAGTGCTACAGAAAGATCCATCAAGGTGATAAAAAGGAATAGATTAAAAAAATAATAATAAAACTGGAAATAGAAGGGTTAAAGATGATTGAAAAGCACAAAGGCTCAATGACAGATGCTTCAAAAAAAGAAAAAAATGAATTCAAACAAAAGAAATAAGTGAGATTAAACATCATTCTTCACGATAATATGCAGGTGTGGACCAAACTTTTCACTTTATTATTTTTATTAGGAGCAACAGCAACGTTGTTTACAACAGATAAACCTGTTAGAAAAATAGCATAAAAGCCAAAAGGAAGATTATTAGTCAAGACACTAGAAACTTTATTGGTTTCTGGCTGATGCTCAGGCTGTGGACGTGCAAACTCTCCTGCCTGTTTCATAAATAATTTGCTGGAGCAAATCGACAATATTTCAGTGAAGTGGACAACTCATTTAAATATTAATACAACGTGTGAATCAGTTTATAGTGTGTGTGTGCTTTAGGTCATGTTTTGCTTACCGGCAATATCTCTTTGAGGCCACAGCGCATAAATTCATTTCTAATGTGCAGCCTGAAGTCCAGCTCATCAGGAGATGTTACCAGGGCATTGATGAGCTGCATGCATGCCACCTGCAACACCACGGGTACAAAGGCAGGGAGAGAGAGGGAGAGAGAGGGAGGGAGGGAGGGAAGGGTGAAAGAGAGAAGCAAAGAATGAGATGACAAATTTCTTCTTCCAGAAGTTGATGAAAAGCATGCTGGCATGCATTCAGAATGAGTTATGTCCCTTGGAAGCAGAAGACCATAACTAATGGATGTCTATTTTCTTCAGTCACCAACTAGGGGCGATGATTTTAATATTAATGCAACAACTACAGACCCGTACGCACAAAATTAACTAACAGTCAATTTAAGGGCAAACTCGCTCTTTAAAATGCTGTTTTTTCACTGCCCTCTGAGTTTGGTTTACTGCGCAGGGACGTCGGCATCTTGTGACTCCTACACAAGCCGAGGAAAGAGAAAAGAAATCAATTATTGATCAGAAAAAGAAATCCGCTCGTGTGTGAAAAGAGGGTATGGGGATGCTAGATATTCAGAAGCCATACGGATCATTGTCAGTTTGATAAAACTCACTTATTTGTCATGAGCATTCAGCCTTGKTAAAAATATTGTCTTCAAAGTGCAACTTTAATAATGTAGTAAAAGTTGCATCACACTCTCAGACTGGGAGGTGTGTAATTAAGTATCACACTCCAGAGTGAAAAACATCTTGACATTAAGGAGCTGAATATGTGTGTGTATGTGTGTGTGTGTGTGTGTGTGTGTGAGTATTATTGGTTTAATGACAAACACTTCGTAACATCTCTAAGACCCCCGTTCACAAGAACACCAAATGGTCTTTTCTTAATTAAAATTGTGTTGTTTCTGGAAAGGTTTTTATCCACACATTAAAACAAAATACAAGGAACTAAACTTTCACATCAGCAAAAGAAAAAAATTATTTCCAAGGTTACCTTTTAAGGACTCCTAATATATTGCAACATTAGGTTACGTTCACACTGCAGGTCTTAAAGTTCCTGTGACATTAAATTTCCGTAACAAACATGCATACATTTTTGGAAAGACAACATTAACAACGTGTTGCTAAAAGAATTTTGCACTGCTGCAATGAACAGTTGTTGAGATATTCACATGTGAATTAACAGGAAGTGATGTCAAAGGGGAATGACAGCATATAAACGGAGCAGTGCTACAACAGCTAACAACACAGACTGTAGAGGAAAATCTGATGTTTCTTTAGGTTATTTTGAGTCAATATCAGAGAAATGAAGAAAAGTCAGAGTTCAAATAAGATTGTTTCAATAAAAAAAGACCATACAGTTTCCTTTCTAAAAAGTTCAACTGTGATGTCACTTCCTGTTTCACTTTAGCTGAGCTAAGTTCTGAAGAAAATATGGACTTTACGTGACAAAATGGGTAAAATCATATGTATTATGTCAAGATTCTTAAATATAAAGATATTTTCTTTGACTTTTTGTATTAGTGACATGTCACAGGCATTTTAATGCTGAATTTTGATTTTTGAAAAAAAAACTGATATGTTGAAAAAAATCTGATTTTTTTTTGCGTGATCGTTCATTTTACATTTTAAATGCGACCTCTATCAGACTCATGTGTGAATGCTCCATGGCACTGATGTGACCCGTGTGTGCAGAAAAGATGTGAAGTCTCGTTCAGCTCGCTGTTTGTTTACAGAGTTAGCCAAACTTGCTACTTTTAGCATATCGATTCTGAAGTTGCTGTTCATTTAAAGTGGACCAAATAATTTTCTGAAATGCTTGTTTAGTTCAGTATCCGAACGTGCCTCTGACTGGATGCTATTCAGTCCAGCGTTTTTTGTTTTGTTTTGGTTTTTTTTGGTTTTTTTGGAACATTGTGCTGAATGTAAAGTAACAAACTTTAGAACTGATATGGTTCGAGACTTAAGTTGGACGTTATTACCATATGTTTCTGTGGATTCCTGGTCAACCATGACATGGAAAAGGAAAAGAAAAAGATGAAGCAACTGGACTTCTGCAGTGTTTCCCCTGGGAAATTGGTCTTGGGGGGGGGCTTGTTTTATAAAAACATAAATTTACGTGACTCACCTGCAATTATGGTAATACATTTACACATACATGAACATTTAATTGCCCAACTACATCCTAGTTAAGAACTACTCATGATAATTATCAAAAACATTCTTATTGATAATAAGTGATCAGAACTGTGTGCAGCAGATGATCTGAGTCCAGAGTTCTCAGTTTGAAACCTTCTGGAGCTCTTCTGTGTGACTCTAGGTGTGACAGAGTGTGGATGGTTGATTGTCTCTTTTGTGTCCCTGATGGAGACTGGAGACCTGTCCAGGTGTCTCTGGTGAACTGAACTGGAGACCTGTCCAGGTGTCTCTGGTGAACTGGAGACCTGTCCAGGTGTCTCTGGTGAAGTGAACTGGAGACCTGTCCAGGTGTCTCTGGTGAACTGAACAGGAGACCTGTCCAGGTGT